GAATACAAGCCTGTCACCTCGTCGCCGCCCTGCTGCATCGTGATGTAGGCCAAGCGTGCGGGGGGGGGGGCCCTGGAGTTGGGGACCGAGGTATTTGATGATGTGTTTTTGCTGTTTACTGATGACGGGGCAAGTGCTGATGGGGGTTTGGGTGAAGATTCAGGGTGAAAGTTCAGGGTGGGTCCATGGGGGGGTGTCCAGAGGAGTCAGCAGGGGTCCAGAGGTTCCTAAAGGAGGGCGCAAACTGGTTCCAGGAGCTAGCCGGGACGGTAAGGAGGAGCAGGATCAGGAGGGTGAGGAGAGCGAGAAGGGACCCGACAGGGGTGTCTGCGGTTCGGCCGGTTCGGCTGCTTCGCATTGGATCTCGTTTTGTCGGTTCAGATGGTTGATGCGCCGCTGCGACTTTGTAGGCTGCTTTCGATCTGTCGGTTTTGGTCGGTTCCGGTTTCGCTGTTGGTTCAGTCGGTCGTCGGTTTTGCTGTTGCCGAGGTCGCCGACGGGGGTGGCCTGCGAAGACATGTTTCGCTGGACTGTACAGGCTCTAGGTTGGCGTGCGCGCCCCTAAATTATGCGCCCGCTCCCAGAGATTCTTGGCAGCTTTCGTCCCCGTCTTCTCATGGACTCCCGATGATTTCCTCCTGTTCGTTCTCGTCGTCATCGTCGTCGTCGTCGTCCTGCTCCTCCTCCTCCTCTTCCTCCTCCTCCTCCTCCTCCTCCTCCTCCACCTCCTCTCTTTTTTCCCCTCTCCCTGCCTGCCTCCCATTCCACTTGCGCTGCCGAGCAAACCCGCCGCTGCTCCATGGGATGTGAGTTTGCCTGGCGCCAGCCTGGCCGATAATGTCTTGCTCGTGTCACAAGTCCCTAGCTCGGTAGCTCGTGCCGCTTCTGCGATAGCTTCAAGGAGGTTACCGCACACACGGTATCGTTGGAGATTCTTTGGCAACTGATCTCGTTCCCCTGACGTTTGGTGCTTGTGTCCAGCCCGATTACGAGGGAGATTCGCGCACTTCTTGGTCGAGCCATATCTTGGGGCCATGCGCGTCCTGCGCGAATTCGTATCACTTGTCATTCGGCCTCTCTCGCCTTCCTCCTCCTTCCCCTTCGGCTGCCGTTTTCGAGCCAGAGTGGGGCGTCTCCAGGAGCAGTCTGATACCGTTCTTGCTGCCTTCCGGCAACGCGGTGCACGCGCACACCTGCCACCGTGGAGCACTGCGGTGGCCCCCCCTCCCCCCCTTCCTCGCCCTCTTCACTCCCACATCAAGCGAATCCCCTGGTCGAGCAAATTCCGATGCAGGCTGCCTTCGGACCACAGCTCGGGTCTCCGGCCTCCGATGTGGGCTGGGAACACTCACGGCGATGCGCAGCTGCTGGAACGCATCCCGCCGTGGCCACGACGGCGCCCCAGGACGATCTAAAAACCTCCAGACAGCGAACATCAGATCGTCGGGTCTCCAGGAATGGCACTGGAGAGGCAGGTCGGGGCCGGGAAGGCGCACGGACCGATCGCGCCGCTCGCTAGCTCGGGGTGGAGGGTTTCTCCGAAGGGCTTTGGCGACCCGTCCTCCTCCTCCTCCTCCTCCTCCTCCTTTTCCTCCTCCTCCTCCTCCTTCCCCTCCTCCTCCTCCTCCTCCTCCTCCTCCTCCTCCTCCTCATCCCCCTTCTCCTCCATTTTTTTCCTTATGAAGAACTTCTCCCTGTTGCACTCCGAGGCCTGTTTTTAGGGCGGGCCGGGCGTTTTTCTTGAGACTTCCTCACCGTTTTTGACTCTGAAGCTTAAAATTGGCAACCGTTTCACAGATGGAGGGCGGGTCGTTTTTTTCAAAATCTGGCTCTCGCCTTAGTGCGGCGCATATTCGCTTTAAATGTTTGCAAGAGTTTCGCGGGTTGACGGCGGGTCGTTTTCAACATGTGGTTCTCGCCTTAGCGCGACGCACATTCGTTCAAAACATTTGCAAGAGTTTCGCGGATTGAGGGCGGTTCTTTTTCAAAATGTGGCTCTCGCCTCAGCGCCGCGCACATTCATTTTGAACATTTGCAAGAGTTTGACGGATTGAGGGCGGTTCCTTTCCAAAATGTGGCTCTCGCTTCAGCGCGGCGATCATTTGTTTTAAACATTTACATGAGTTTGACGGATTGAGGGCGGTTCCTTTCCAAAATGCGGCTCTCGCCTTAACGCGGCGCACATTCGTTTAAACATTTGCAAGAGTTCACGGATTCCCATCATCAACGTGCCAGAAACGGTGTTTTAAAAGGATTGACGATTATGCTGGCGCAAGAATTATGTTGTTTCGCTGTGTTGAAGCCCCAGGAATGGCGTTCTGGCACGACTCAGGATTGTCAAGACGCAACAGTCAGGTTGACCGTGGCGTTGGAATCCCGAGGACAATGCTTTGGCCTGCTTCAGGGTCTTCAAACGGTTGTCTTCCACAGAGGCAGTTCCTTCAATGGGAATGAACCGTTGTAGGGGCCTACGACGAGGGAGCTCGGAGGGGGGGGTTTATTCCAACATCGCTGATGACTCTTGGGCTTACGCTGGTCCTCCTCCTCCTCCTCCTCCCTCCTCCTCCTCCTCCTCCTCCTCCTCCTCCTACTCCTCCCTCCTCCTCCTCCTCCTTCTCCTTCTCCTCCTCCTCCTCCTCCTCCTCCTCCTCCTCCGCCTCCTCCTCCCTCCTCGCCCTCCCCTCCTCGGGTCGCCGACGGCCCCGGGGGAGACCGTCCAGCTCTGGGCATCCCCCCCCGCGCGCGCCCGCGAGGCCTCGGCTCCTGCACTACTGCCTCGGTCGGCACCTGCTGGCCTTCGGCCCCTCCCACCACCGTGCCTGGGTTTTGTTCCCCTACAGTGCCGTTTTTAACACATGCTCCGCGTGCGGACAGGCGAGCCCGTGCACTCAATCCCGAGGAGAGGCCTGCGGACCGAGGACACAAAGGGACCCGAGACCACTCCAACTCGTGCCTCGTGGCACGGTGGCGGACCTTGCGCAGCCATGTCGCGCAGCTTCTCCGCCGTGCCGAACATCTGAGCTGCATCAGCGCCCTCTCCCCAGATCTCCGACGATGTGATCTTTCCCCAATACGGCGTTTCGCCCGAGGGTTCCAGGAGCGCCGGAGGTCACAGAAGGCCACACGAGGGTTCCACAGGGAGGAATCGGGGCGCGCGAGGCCGCCGCCCGAGATCGTTTTTGCTCCAGCAGCCGCTTCGCCTGAGACGTCCTCTTACCAGCCTGGAACATATCCCCATCCCTATGCTGGGCACCTCCTCATCACGATGCCGATCTTGGGGATTCCCTTAATTATTTTTTGAGGGCGAATCCCTAGGATTGTCATCACCTCTTGGCGTGTCAATCTCAGGGATAGGGATACGTTCGAGGCTGGTAGTCCTCACAGTTTGTCCAGGAGCCGTGCGCTCCCCTCCGCGAGGGGCACACACTTGGACTGGACGGCCACGATCCTCGGCAGAGAAGAGACGCTCGAGGGAGGAAAGAACCACCCGGACCGGAGAATTGGCGTTGACTAAACGGCCCTGGTCGGGGGTGGACAGACCTCCTACCCTGACACGTCGATTAAGGAATTGGCCGTTTTCGGTTCGCGAGAGAGCGTCGCGGCCGTCATCCTGGGCGTTTACTAAGCAGCCCTGCCCAGTTCGATTCCTCGTTTGGGCGCGTTGACTAGACGACTTCGCGTGTCGGGGTGGTTGTTATGGGGGTGGATCTTTTGGCTTCTAGGCGCTGAGGTGCACATGGCCGTGCTCTCACCCCTGTCCCGGCACGTTTTCGCTGGCCGACCTCCTGCTCCTCGGCCCGCCTCTGCACCTTCTGCTGCCGTAAGGGTGCTCTGCCGGGGCATGCTGGGCGTTTTTCCCTCCCGTTTTCGGGCCCTGGGACGATAAACATGGATCGGGGGTGAAAAACGCTCCCCGGGGAAGGGGTCAGGAGCTCTGGGGCGAGGGCTAAACAAAAATCAGACCAGAGGTTGTCTGAGTCTGCGTCTTTTTGGCTCACGCGGTCCGAATGACCGTAATCGCCAGCGGAGCTCTGAAGGTAGTAGAGCATCTTCGGCAGGACGCTGTCTTCGCTGCTGCATGCTGGTCTTGGGTGCCTCGGACTACTTACTTAGTCTGCATGGGCGAGTAACAAGATGCCAACTGTTGTCGCAAGCCAGCACTCTGCGAGTGGCGGAGTGTAGAATGTTCCTTCAGCTCAAGCGTGCTTCCCGTACGTAGTACCAACTTATCGCGTTCCAGCTGTGTCTTGGTATCGCGCTGCTCCATGCCAGATCGTCTTGCAGGATCAAGCGGAAGGGACTTGCCGTTGAATATCGCGGTACTCTCTCTGCCTTCGATATTGCTAGCTCGTTTCCAGGATAGAGTATCTCAGGCAGGTAGAGTGCGGTTGAATCGAACGGTTTGTATTCAGTTGCTTTTTGGGGGCAGTAGTGCCAAGTTTAGGACCGTAATCACAGCTCTTGACGCTTCGCGCATGCCCACTAGCCCATCCAGAATATATTCCCGGGCGAGTTGTCGTGACAAGAAAGTCGGGGGCTTGCAGTGAAACAGTGATGGGGGAGACTCGGGCCAAACCAGACGCACGGTCAGCCCCAGGAGCATCTGGAAGCGGACAGCTTGAGCCCGTCTGGTGGCTTCCTGGAGGCCTCCTGGAGGCGTCTTGGGCCTCTCGGCGCGTCTTCGCTTTGTGCGCCTGGGAGCGACCAGGAGCGCCTTGAGTGTTGGTTTTGACGGTCCCTGGGATCCCGTTCCTGGTGAGGGTCCTCATTACGGATTACACCAATTTAATGTTCCAGAGGTGGACCCAGCATGTGTGTTGACTTGCGTCTGTTGTGTCAGGGGGGCTCGGTTCTGTCCAGGGTTGGCACCGGCGTACGGTAGAGGCCCCGTCCTTGTCCCTTCCGTCCCCCTTCAGTTTTTTGCCTCATTCAGGCGTGCCCGATTCAGGATTCCCGCGGTCTGGCGCTCCTGGACATCGGCTTCTCCTCCCTTTCCCCCCCTCCCCCGCGAGCATCATCATAGGCCTCTGTCCCTCCGGTGGTGACCATCATAGGCCCCACCCCCCACCCCTCGGTAGCTGCCACCACAGGGGTTGCCCAGGTCCCACTCCCTTCAGTAAACCAATCCACCATGCCGTGAATAGGCGCCAGAGGGAGGGGACCGAGGCTTTCCTTACGGCCCCTCGGACAACGAATATGGCCTTACGGAGGGGTACCAACGTACCTCCGCAGCTCTGACTTCAACACCCGAAAACGCAAATTGCCACCATCCAGTGTTTTCCTTCCTTCTCCTTCCTTTCTCCTCTCCCCCTTCTGGATCCAACTCACGCTCGTCGGTGCTGGTACCCCTCCTCTCCACTCTTCCTGCCTTCCGCCTGCCCTCCTGCTTTCCTTGCTTCTGCTGCTGCTGCTGATCCTCCTCCTCCACCTCCTCCCCATAGATCCGATGTATTGTGTCTCCTTCACAGGCAAGTCCCAGGAATCCCGACCCTTCGGGCCGGCTTTTCATTTTGAGCCGTTTTCGTGACGGTCCTGGGGCCCGGCGAGGGCCCCAGAAGGCCAGTGACGGCGAACACTTTCCCAAAAGCACTTCAGGCACGTGAACGTTCACGTACTTGAAGTGCCCTTCGGAAAGTGCTCAAATGTCACTGGCCCTTTGAGGTCTCCCTCCCCCCTTCCCCCTCCTCCTCCTCCTCCCTCCCCCCTCCTCCCTCCTCCCTCCCCCTCCTCCCTCCCCCTCGTCCTGGGTCTCCCTCCCCCCTCCTCCCCTGGGGGTTCACATGTCGACCCCTGGACCTCTCCAGGGGGGTGCGTTCTGCCACGAGCTCGGGGGGAGCCCGGCCGTGGCAACGGGGGCACCCGGGGACGCACAACGCCCGCCCCCCAGACCGTCGAGGCTCGAATCTGGATCATGCGCCTGCCTGCCCCCCTCCCGGCCACGACCAGAGCCCCGGGAATGAATCTGTCGGCTCGAGATCTGTGGGGCTGCTGGGGGGCCCGAAGCTGGGCGCAACATCGCCCAGCTCGAGAAAGTCGGCCCGCCCGGATCCGAGGTGAAGGCTGCCGGTGGGGGCGCCAGGCAGCGCCCTGCGACCTCGGGGCGGCCCCACGGCGCAGCCTCCCCTGGGGCGGCGCCGCCACGCGCCTCCCCTCTCCGCCAGAGGGCCTGCCGGCAGGCGGGAGGGCCCGCTGGAGCTCCCTCAGCGGGCCCCGGGGCTGCTTGCCCGCCTTCAGTTCGGGTGCCACTCCTGGGAGGTCGAATTCGGAATCGGCGCTGGAATGGCCGCGGTCGAAAACCGGTCTGATCTGGCATAGGCTGGGTTAATCAGGCTTGATGTGGTTTTCTCCGGCCTGATCCACTTTAGTCCTGCGCCTCACCCAGACCAGTCCGGCCTAAGCGGGCTTGATGGCCGCTTTCTCGGCCTACTAGCCCTTGATCGTCGTGACGAAGACCTCCTGGGAGTTGCTTCCTAACTCCCCCCCTCTGCTTCCCAGTGCTCTGACTTCGCCGACCGATGCCGAAACGATGCCGAATTCGGGGGAGCAGGGCCTGATTCGGGGAATCCTGCTTGCAGCGGTGTCCCTGGGTGATCTGCCTAATTCGGAAACTGGAGCATCTACATTACCAGCGGCGGGCGTGTTTTTCAATCCCAGGACTTTTTTTAGGGTCGGGGACGACGTCGGGGTGGTGTGGTGTATACTTGTTTCCCCGTTTTCCCGTGGCAAGAACGGAAATGTGTACACCCAAACCCCGTATACACCAGGATCCGCTTTCCTGTGCGAGTTTCGGTGCGGGGCCAGAGCAAGGCGGTCGGTGTATATATAGAGTTCGGCTCCTCATTGCCTCCTTCCGCCCGCCGCCGCCCCGGGTCCGGAGTCGGCGCGCAGGGCGCTCGCCGCGCGGCTCCCCCCCCCCGTCCGGGCGCTGCGGGCGGGCGCCTCCGGCGGGGGGCCATGGCCGGCATCTTGGACTGGGAGGGGGGAGGAGGAGGAGGGGGAGGAGGAGGAGGAGTGGGCAACTACGATTGGTATCGCATCAATCACCGTGCGAGTTTGGCGATGGTGTGACAATGACGACGACAAGGCGATGCAGATGATCATGATGTTGATGATGAGGATGATGGTGGTGATTGTGGTGGTTGTTGGGGGTGATGATGAGGATGTTCCTCTCCGGCGGTCCTCTGCGAACCGCAATCCCAGCTGCCAATCTCCTGAACCACGCGTGTGCACCCCACATCGTGGGGCTTAATTAAGCGCCTAGGTCTAATCCACGAGACAGGCTTGGGCCTAAAGGCGACGGACCAGAGCCTCGCTCTCAATCATTTGCGTAGCAGTGTAAGTATATGTTTTCCCCTTGTTGTGTGTGTGTGGTCTGTCTTGTTGCTCTTATGTTGCGTTTTTCCCCCTTCGCCTGCTGGCAACACCTGCCACTGACGCGCTCTGGCTAACCCCGCCGGCCGACCACCCGTCCGAGCAGGGGGTGAGAGGAGGCGGAGGAGGAGAAAGAGGAGGACGAGAGCTTGGGGAACGAGTGAAGCAGACGGTCAGACAGGAGGAAGATGATGATGATGATGATGATGATGATGATGATGATGATGATGATGATGATGATGATGATGATGATGATGATGGTGGTGGTGGTGGTGGTGGTGGTGGTGATGATGATGATGATGATGCCCACCAGTCGTCTCAACATCTGTCAGCTCGCACGCTCGCTCTCCATTATTCCCTTTCAGCCGCAGGGCACCTGATGGGTGTAGGGGTGGTTAGTCCCCTCGAGGGTGCGACTGAAAAAAACAGCGTGGCGAGGGGGGGGGGAAATTCGTTACTTTCCCCCCCCTTCCCCCTTTTTGTGCGGCGGAGAACTAGGGCGGGGGAGGAGGTAATTGAGCATTGTCTCTGAAGGGAGCAAAACTGCAATGCAATGCAACTCTCGCGCGACGCACTCTCCAAACCGAGAGGTAGGCGAATTGCGCGAACTCTTCCACTACGGACCACACGCCAGGCCATCATTGACCTCCCACCTGTACCCGTCAACGCCCCGACCGACTGGCCAGGAAAAACTGCCATCATAGGAAGGTCGCTTCCAGTCGCCCCTGCACTCAGAATTCCCACGCCAGCCTGGACTTCGGCCGCCGTTGCCAGGTACATGCTGCAAACATCCACCCAGACAGAGCGATGGACAACCTCCAGATACCACCACCTCTTGAGTACGATGGTGTACGGATGACGGCATAAGCCAGGCAATGGAACGATCGTGCCCACGCACCACCCAAGCATGATAATCCCACCGCACGAGCCGCGAGGTGAGGCACTCAGGATGAATTGTAAAGCGTCCTCTTCTTTTGGATCGCCCTGTTCTCACTGAAGGGCCATCCACTCCACGAGCTGCTTGGCCCTGGCCGGGGCGGCTTGCGCTTCAAGTAAGTCTGTCGGGGGCCCTCAAACGGGGTCATGACCACACCGTGTGGTGAGTCGGTGGGGATTCGGGGTCACAGCACGGTTTTGGGACTCGGGTCGTTCTCCGAGGAGCGACTGGGGCATCCGAGGTTCCAAAACCGTGCGTTGACGGACCGTGCGGTGAGGTCTTGGATCTGTCACCGCACCGTTTCGGGACTCCAAAGTCTGGAAGAACATGTCGAATTTGCGGGCGAACGGCGCCTCGTGCAGGCGCTTGGTAACCTCGGTGATCGCGGCCACGTTGAGGCTCGACAGCTCCAGTGTCCAGGGACTTCTTCTGCCCGCTCACGGCCGATTGGAGCCACGCCGCCTGTGCAGTCGCAAGCTCCCCCGCTCCTGCCCCCCCCGTTCTTCTTGTCCTTCGGCTCCTCGCGCACCATCTGGGCAATGCGCTTGACCACGTCGGGAGGCGGCATGGCTCCTCCCCTGGGCGGGGGAGGGCGGGATCCGCCCGATCCGGAGCTCCCGCAGGAGTCACGAGCGGAACCCTGCACGAGCTGGTCCAGCTTGTCCCCGAGCGCCCTGGCCAAGGCATCTTCCTGGTGCGTGAGCTCCTCCTTGCGGTCGGCCTGGACCTTGTCGCACCGCGCCCCGCAGTCCATGCCCTTCTTGTACAGTCGGGGCGCTGAAGAAGGAACCCTTTTCGTTGGGGAGGGGCTCGGTGTTCCTTGATTGTTTAGCAGTTTGCCTCAGGTCTTCCTGAGGTTTTCCAAGGGGCCTCGTTCCTTATTGAGGGTTCCTTAGGTCAACGCCCCGACTGTAGAGCACGAGCTGGGCCTTCTCGATCTCCGCTTTCTTGGAATCGGACCCCGAGGATGAAGAACGTGGCCGGCGCCGCTTGCGGTCCCGATCTTGGTCTGCCGCGCGGCTGTCGTGCCCTCCGTCACGATCGCGGTCCCCCGTCGCGATGGTCCTGGGTCTGCTGGTGGCTGCCGCCCTTGTGGCAGCCCTTGTAGTTGCCTGTCATGCTGTGCTCACGCTGGCGCTGTTGCACGGAAAGCCTGATCGCCGCTCGAACCCCGAGAGCGGCTGCCGATGGGGGCATTTAGTTTGCAAGGGCTCGCAGCAGATCGCAGAAATCCCGAATGGTGGAATTCTAACAGCAACTCCAAGACCCCGATGCAGAGGACGTTTGTCCCTAGGCCCAGCTGCTTTGCTCGAGCGAAGTGTCCAGCAATCAATGCTTTTGCACTGCCCGAAACCGCTGGCTGGGCGCCCCATCCACGGAGGTGTGGCATGGCGCTCCCTTGGGCCCTCCACGCTCGATTCGGGTTCTCGGGAAGATAGACGAGCTGCTGCTCCCGGACCCAGATCTCCAGATCGTGTCTCTCTCCGACACGACAGGCTCGAGGCTCTTCAGAGGCCCTGCGCCCAAGAGGTCCCAGAAGACCAGGCAGTGCAGGACCTCCAAGATCGCCGAAGTCTCCGCGCCCACCGGGACGAGGAGCGACAGCGGCCTCCAGCGGCTGACTGAGGGCAACGAGCGAAATCTTCAGCGCGAGCGCCCCCCGGACGAATTCTGAGACGCACGTGCCGCAAAACCTTCGAGACGCTGACGCCGTCCACATACCGCGTCCAGGAAATACAGTGCTTGGGCCTCCAGGGTCCGAAATCGTATCCAGAACGTCGATGACCTCCGAGCGAGAACCACGTGTGCTCTTGGGCCTCCAGGGATACGGCAACCGTGGCGGAGAACATACCCCCCCCAATGCAGATGCCACGCAGCATGTAGAATCTCCGGGCAGCGGGGACAACAGTCATCAAAAAGGCCCGATGAGTTTCAGAGAGGCTCAAGCACCACCAGCCCCCACTGTAGCCCCCATCTTGGGGCTTGGTGATCTCTGTATCTCCTTCTGAACCAGAATGCGGCCTTCGGATACCGGGCTTGGAAGGCATCAGCAGCAACCATGTTTCATTGCTCACTGATTGAGTCAGCGTCGCCCGCCTCGAACGCTTGATCTGCGTCCGCAATCACGATCGATAGAGAGCCGCCGAGGCGTTTTCCACACGGACAGTAGGTAGTGCAGGTGGGGGCATCGAGCTCTTGAAGAGGGCGCGCCAGTCCAGGCCCTGCTTCCTTCACGCTTCAGACCTCCTGCGAGACCTTGCCGGACTGGAGAACGCTTCGAACCCCATGGGCCATGACTCGGGCCGAACGAAGAAAGGGGGGTTTACGCAATCAGCTGCATGCAGCTGGTTTGGGCTCCCCTGCCGGGCCCATTCCTCGATACATGGGCGCCTCCTGTCGCCGGGAGGCGCCGGGAAAATCAGCTACGTGAGCTGATTCTCGAACCCCCCCCTTTGCTATCCCCCCCTTTCGCCCGGCCCGAGACTTCTTCGAACCCCATCCCTCCCTCCGTCCTCCTGCTCCTCCTCCGCCTCCTCCTCCTCCTCCTCCTCATGATGCCTTTCCACGCTAGTCTTGCGTCGCCTCCCGAAGCATCGGCGAGGCGCCTCCAGCAGGCGTGGCCCGTGCTGCGCGTGCGCCGAGAGCCGCGCCGTGGCCAGCTCTACAGGGCCCCCCGCGCCCCGTCGGGCGCCGGGAGCGGCCGGTGGGCCCACGCGTCGTCGCTGGCATTGGGTCGGGCCTGTCCCTCTACAGGGGGGATTATCCCAGTGCGACCCTACCTAGGAGTTGGAGCCTCTAGAAAGCAACATTAGTAGGTGCGGTAAACGCCGTCCTCCTCCTTCTCCTCGTCGTCGTAGTTGTAGCAGTAGCGGGTAGTAGTAGTAGTAGTAGTAGTAGTAGTAGTAGTAGTAGTAGTAGTAGTAGTAGTAGTAGTAGTAGTAGTAGTAGTAGTAGTAGTAGTAGTAGTAGTAGTAGTAGTAGTAGTAGTAGTAGTAGTAGTAGTAGTAGTAGTAGTAGTAGTAGTAGTAGTAGTAGTAGTAGTAGTAGTAGTAGTAGTAGTAGTAGTAGTAGTAGTAGTAGTAGTAGTAGTAGTAGTAGTAGTAGTAGTAGTAGTAGTAGTAGTAGTAGTAGTAGTAGTAGTTGCAGTAGTAGTAGTAGTAGTAGTAGTAGTAGTAGTAGGATTCCCCCTCTACAGGGGGAATATTTGAAAATAGTCAAACAGCAGTCTGGGGACGACTTTTGGATTATTTTTTAGCAATTGAGGAGCATTTCTGGAGTATTTTTAATTTTTCGCCCAAAATCCGCCTGTAGGGGGACACGCCCGACCTAACACTGGCAACGGAGCTGTCCAAGTAGGCTGTGAGGTCCTGGATCTCCCCTGCCCACAACATACAGTCGGCTCTGATTAGTAGGTCGGCCCTGCCAAATCGAGGGTACCCTTGCGTCCTGTTTTTCGCGACCAATGTCGGAAACTGGAACATAGACATTCCCAGTGGCGAGCAGTTTTTCAATCCCAGGATTTTTTTGAGGGTCGGGGACGACGTCGGGGTGGTGTGGTGTATACGTTTCTCCCGTTTTCCAAGGGAAACGACGAAACATGTATGCACCAGGATCCCGTATACACCAGGATCCGCGTTCCTATGCGAATTTCATCGCAGGGTCGGAAAAAAACGTCGGTGCATAGAGTTCGTTTTCCTAATACAGTCGTCTCTGATTAGTAGGTCGACCCTGCCACATTGAGGGTGCCCTTGCGTCCTGGTTTTCGCGACCAATGCCTTCTGCACTCCTATGGCAAGGTGGCCCTCGGAGGGCTCTCGTGCCCTCGCGTGTCCTTGCCAAGTATCGGGGCTGCGATCGTCAGCCAGGCGCACGGGCCCCCCCGAGCTCAGAGCGTCGGCCATCGACGCTTCATGCCGCCCCCCCTCGGGAGGGCAACCCGGCAGCCCGAGTCGCCCAGAGTCAGGAGGGAACAAACACACAGACACAAGTAATCGTCGATCCCCAGGAAGTATGGGAAACATATGGGAAGTGGGGGGAGGAGACAAAAACGTAAAAAGTATGGAACAATATGGGGAATCCTGTTATTTATGTATATTTATTTGTGTGTCGCAGGGCCCCTTCAAAGACGGCGGTCCCCGTCTCGACGAACCCGGCCAGGAAAACGAAGGCGCTTTCCCCTGGAATTCGCGATGCACCTCTCCGCGAATGACCTGAAGTCTGGGCCAAGCAAGCCTGAAGGCGCCAAGGCCCACTCCAGCACCGCAGTGTTTGAGGCATGCAAATAGGCATGTCCCGGTAGACATTGGAGAAGCTCGAAGATACCGCCTTGAAACTACGATTGGAATTGATACTGCTGTTCCACCGCTGGTGCTTGCTAAAAGTGACCATCGCCCCTCTTCGGTACGACTCCAGTACCGGCGTACATCGAAATCGATCTAGCGTGGCCTTCACAGCACCTTTCACCACGTATCGATCTCGGATTAGAGAGAGTCCTGCAGGCATTCGAAATATTGGACACGTCCACACACCCCGAGGCTCTGAAGAAGGAAACTGATATGCTTCTGCATAGTGATCCTACGAACCAGTACCTTGACAAGCGACTCACTGATCTCCAGTGCCCGAAGCAGGAACGCAACTAGATCACCTCGGCGCCAGTGGGGCAAGACAGCTCCAGGACGCCTGGTGGCCAGAAGGGAGAGGATAACGGTCACGTGACAGGCGGCGAAAATCCAGACAGGGCCGATCGTCCCCGAGACGCCCTAACCATGGACGTGATGAAGACGGCGCAACGCGTTGAATGGCATGTCTCCGCTATTGACCCCGTGTAGCTCAGGAAAACTGTTCTAGATATTTGGCTGCTCCCTGACCCTGCACTCGTGCGTCTCCCAGATGTTCTGAAGTGGGTTGCGCCGGCCCCGACACCACGATGACGGTCGAAATCGCTGTCTCCGACGAGCCAGGATACGCACAGCAGCTGGAACTCCTTTGTGCTGCTTGGCCACGTCAGCAGAATTGCAAGCGGGCCTCTCCATGCGAATCATGGTCGCCTCGAGCGCGAATCCTCGAGCCTCCGCGGGCGCATCAATGACCGGAAGCACGCCCAGGTTGCCCTAAGAAAAAACGAAACATGAGTACCGAGCCTATTCGCTGTGCGGGTCGCTAATGCGCAAGAGGCCGCTGAGATGCTCATGCGCTCTGGAGTTGTATCCTCCCGTCTGCCTCGCGATGTTTGCCTTGCCAACATAAAACCCCGCACGGCTGAAAAGGATGTGCGTAGTTGTGCGCGAATCCGGGTCGCCCAAGCTACAGGGCTTCGGCGTGGGCGCATTCTTGTATGTGGCCCGCAGTCCGCCTACCAGTCCAGCGCGAGGGTCACACACGTCATGACGCCAACTTGGATGTAGAAGCCAGAGCACACTGGCAGCCCACCGTGGCACCTTCGACTGTTGAATGTCCCGGCGGAGGCGCGCCACGCTGGTGGCGCAGAGAAGCTGAGCAAGACCACGAAGTGGAAGTGGTCTTCGATGGCCTCCCTCTCCGGTGGAAACATTGGCCGAGCAACTGTAAACTGCGCCCATCCCAAAGGCATCAAATCTGGATCGCGGTCGAGAGCACTCGCGGTATCAAAGCTGGATCGCGGTCGAGAGCACGCGCCCACGCCCACGCCCAGTTTTCAATAGCATCTGCCGTGCAGGCGCTCATGCTCCAAACGCACATGGGGACCAGCTCCGCCATGAAGGCCGTCCACCTTCGAGACGCAGGCTGCGGCCACGGCACTTGCGCAGGAATGCGCGTGACGTCGCTGCGTGCTCGGCCCTGCCCCACCGTGGCTCCACCCCAGCCCAGCGGCGGCGGCAAGGGACTTGGAAGGACGTGACCAGAGCGAAGAAGTTGGCAAACACGAAGAATGCATTGGCGTATAAATGCTCCACGTGCACAGTGAGCGCGGTGACCTGGTCGTGCACGAGATCAAAATAGAATAATAATAAGAAGCGCACGAAGAGGAAACCTGTTGACAATCATAATCATACTACTACAACACATATATATAAGTACTATTGGTATTAACACTAACAATAGTAATACGAATGCTAGCAGTAGTAGTAGTAGTAGTAGTAGTAGTAGTAGTAGTAGTAGTAGTAGTAGTAGTAGTAGTAGTAATAGTAGTAGTAGAAGAAGAGTAATATTATGAATAAACATGTTTCGAAAAAGAGTACATATCAAAGAAACATGAAAGAAAAGGGGAATGCGAATAATGCGAAGAACACGATCTGGAACTCCTGGCGCTGCTCAGCACCTCCTCGAAATGGTCCTCGACCGAACCTAGAACCCCGTCGGCTGTTGCTCGGCTTGGTGTCCTAGCGGCAATGATTGTTCTATCCGGCGGTCCTCTGCGAACCGCGATCCCAGCTGCCAATCTCCTGAACCGCACGTGTGCGCCCCACTCCGTGGGGCTTAAAGCGCCTAGGTCTAATCCACGAGACAGGCTTGGGCCTAAAGGCAACGGACCAGAGCCTCGCTCTCACTCAATTGCTTGGCAGTGCAAATGTTCTCCCCCTGTTGTGTGTGCGGTCTGTCCCTGTTGATATTTTGTTGTGTTTTTTTATCTTCACCTGCCGGCAACACCTGCCACTGACGCGCTCCGGCCACCCTGGCGCTCTCTGCCGGCCGGCCGCCCGCCCGAGCAGGGGGTGAGAGGAGGTGGAGGAGGAGCAGGAGGAAGAGGAGGACGAGGGTTTGGGGAACGAGTGAAGCAGACGGTCATACAGGATGATGATGATGAGGAGGAGGATGAGGAGGATGAGGATCAGGATGATGAGGACGAGGATGATGATGAGGATGGTGATGATGATGCTGCTGCTGATGTTGATGATGGTAGTAATTATGATGATCATCATGATGACGATGATGAGGATGGTGATGAGGATGACGGTGAGGCTGATGCTGATGATGATGCTGATGATTTATGCTGATGAGGATGATGCTGATGAGGATGAGGATGAGAATGATGATATTTTGTGGATGCTGATGATGATGACGATGATGATGATTATGATGGTGGTGATGGTGATGATCATTATGCTGCTTATGATGATGATGATGAGGATGAGGATGACGATCATGATGGTGGTGGCGGTGGTGATGATGATGATGATGATGATGATGATGATGAAAATGATGATGATGATGGTGGTGGTGGTGATGATGATGATGATGGTGATGATGGTGATGATGGTGATGACGATGATGATGATGATGATGATGATGATGATGATGATGATGATGATGATGATGATGATGATGATGATGATGATGGTGGTGCGGATGGGGGGTGCTCCAGGGGGGCAACGCCAGGGTCCAGATCTCCGACGATGTGGGTTTCCGCGACTTTGGCCTCAGGGCCCCGTTGGCGGGCACTATGGCCATTGAATACGGACCTCAGGCGAAAAACTTGCCAAAGGGAAGGTGCCAGGACTTCTATGGGGTCACGGATCGAAGAAATCATGTCGGCGGATGTCTGGGGGCGAGGCTGCTCCAGTGCAGTCACAGGGGGTCGTTCGGGGATCGGTCCTCCTCCCCACCTCCTCTTCTCCTCCTCCTTCCCCTCCTCCTCCTCCTCCTCCTCCTCCTCCTCCTCCTCCTCTTCCGTCTCCTACTCCTCCTTTTCCTCCTCCTACTTCTCCCGCCCTTCCTCCTTGGACGACGCTCGGGCACCAGTTCACCAATCTCTTGCGAGCAAGAACCCAAGACCAATCACGAGAAGTCGAGGCGACACACGCGCCTATACCGTCACCGAGGACCTCCTCTTCCTTCCTCTTCTTCTCCTCTGCCTCCTTTACCTCCTCCTCCTCCTCCCTTCCTAATTTTTTATATGTCTCGCATTTCGTGTGTCCAGACACGCCAGGCTCCCAAAGTCAAGGCCTCCCCGCCTGGTCTGAGATGGGCCTGGACGCTTGTCCACAGCGGTGGTCGTTCGTTCGTTCGTGTCGCCTTCCTCCCTCCTCCCCCCTCCTCCCTCCATCCTCTTCCTCAACCCCCTTTCTTCCTCCTCCCCCTGCTCTTCCTCCTCCTCTGCGGAGTGGATCCGGCGGCGGGGGCAGGAGCCGCTGGTGGACCAGCAGATATCGGTGGTGACGAACGACGGGCGGGTGCGCCCCCCCGCGAGCAGTGGGGCGGCAGGGAAGGGCTGCACGGGAGAGAGAGGCTGCGGCAGGCTCGCGTCCGGTCGACCGCGGCGGCGACCTCGCCGCCTGGCGTTCCAGCTTGCTCGCCGCTGGTGGCCCAGAAGCAGCCAGCATGGAGCGATCCAGCGATCGAGCAGCCGCCGATCGCTCGAGGTTGAACGATCCTGCGATCTCAAAAATCGAATTCTCAAACAAATTCGATGGCTCAAAACGCCAACAAAATCTTGTCATGTGGGTTGGGAGCAGGACACAAACACGCCGACGCAACCGTTGGAAACGCAACTGAAAGTAAGCCGGCTCGAAAATCGCCGATTAAGGCGTTTCGAAAATCCGGGGCACGTGGTGTCGGAAGTCAACGCTAGGGTCGTCACGGCACGAGCCTGCCGTAGACGGGGCGCGTCTGGAGAGGCCTGTTCGTCCGTGCCCGTGCCCGGTGGTCGAAAGCGCCTCTCTGCAAGTCACCGCCGCCCCCTTCCTCTTGTGGAGGGTCCTGGGGCCATTGCGGGCGAATAAACGATGCAGACCTCGCTCGGTTGTGGTTGAATTTTGGTTCCCCAAAGTGTTGTCGGGACGGTTTTGGGAGCTACTTGGTTCAGAAGAAACACCAAGCTGCTTCCAATTACGTGCCATAATTTGTCTAAATTTGCTCCTCGGTGTCGGGACTGTCTTGGGGCTCTTTTGGGCTTTCTTTGCGGCCCCCCGGGGCTTTCCTGGACCGTGTTGGTGGCCGTCTTGGTCCACCCTGGCAGTCTTGGGGGCCAGCTTTGGGCGTCTTTGTGGCCACTTGGGCCATCTTGGGTCGTCCTGCAGGAGTCCAGTGAGGGGTGTTTACGAGCTTTGTGGGCATTTGATGCGGCTGCTGCTGCGTGCCAGGACCAGTGGCAGGGACCGAAGGGCCTGAGGGGAGCTTTGGAGTGGACCAACGACTTGCAAAATTGTCACGCCCAGTATCCGACAGGGGGTGGCGGATCGAAGAAGCCTACTGCTATTTACCGCTGCCCTGCCACCGAGTTTCCTTCGAGAGACGCCTATGGCCACGCGTTGGGCGGAAGTATTGCCACGCTGCTGCAGTGGTAAGTTACTAGTTGCTTTGCGTCGGCTTCTAGAGGGGCCCGCCTGGGCAGTCTTTGGGCAGTGCTGAGGCTATTGGGGCTGCTCTTTCAAGCTTTCTTTGGGACCTCCTCCTGGGGACCTCTTGGGGCCCTCCTGTTCAGCTTTGCGGATCTCTTCGGGGGGGGGGCTCTTGGGGCGTCTTGGGGCCCTCTGGGGGGGTCGTGTTGGTGGTTTTCTGAGACTGTCCTGAGGCCGTCTTCGGGCACTGATGCTGCCTTACTTGGGGCAATATTTGGGGTCTCTTGGCTGTCTTTGGCATCCTGCAGCCCGACAAGGTGAGTATCTGTGTGCAGTGAGCACAGCTTTTTGAGAGCCTCGGTTAGGCCTCATGAGCCATTTTGAGGCCACCTTGGACCGTCTTGAGGCCATCTTGGGCCGTCGCGGGGCCCTCTTGGGCCGTTTTGGGGCCATCTTGGGAACATCTGGGCTGGGCCAGTCTTGGAGGCTGTCTTGAGGCGTCTTGGGGCAGTCTTGCATCTTGGAGGCCGTCTTGGCCCGAGAAGCTGGCGGCGGTGACAGCTGCCGGGGCCCGGCGCGCTGCGGTCCCGAAGGGCTGGCGGGAAGTTCCTGACAGGGATCAGTAGCGCCTCGAACCCTTGGCATAGGGAGGGGGTCTGCAGCGCTGATCCAGGAAATCCGCGCGGACCTCCGACAGTTTATGCTGATGCGTTTTTTTATTCTGGGGGGCGGCAGCGGCGGATCGAAGGCGCACCTACGGCGAGGCACCGCCACTCCCTGATTTTGGGAAGCGCCCGTATCAAGTGCGACGACGCTGGAGAGCTACGTGTTCCCCCAGCCGTTGGGGAAACCACTTGGGGAATACTGATGGGGGTCTCTGGCGCCGTCTTTGGGGGTGCCTTGGGGCCACTTTACTCAGGAGGGAAAAAAACACGCAGACACAATTAATCGTCGAGTCCCCAGAAAATATGGGAAGATATGGGAAGTGGGGGGAAGACAGAAACCCAGAAAATGTGGGAAACAAATTGGGAATCCTGTTAGTTGTGCCTATTTATATTTGTGTGTCCCAGGGCCCCTTCATTTACACGTTTTGGGCCTTCGTGGATATGTTTTTTCAGGACTTCCGCGTGGCGGTCGTCGCCCTGCGGGGGGGTGAGGCCCTGGGCAACGGTAGCGCCTGGGCGGGGTGGGCAGGGGCGCGCTGCGATCGCCACAGTGTGCGCGCGAGCATCATCACGTTTATGCCTGCGAGCACAGCAGGGGCCTGCGACTCGTTCACCAGCATGTGGCGAAATTCCAGGACATTCGCTTTATCCACGGGGAATTTTCGAGACATCCGAGGACCCCGAGGGCGAAATTCTAGGACGTTCGCTGCCACGAGGAGGAAATTTCGAGACATCCGTCCTTCACCGATGTCACCAGGCCTGCGCCAGCGCCGAAAATCAAGAGGGGTTGGGTCCAGGCCCCCCGCCCCCCGCACACGATCGTTACCGTCACCCGGGGGGGCGGGGGGGGGACCCGGGTAAAGACCGTTGTTCGCCAGACGATAAAAAGCAATCTCTTGGAGGCCTCCTGGGGCCGGCCTGGGCCATCTTGAGGGTCTTTTGGACCACCTTAGGGCGCTCTTGGGCCGTCTGGCGCCTTCGGAGCCGGTCTTGGGGCCTCTCTGGGCTGCCTTGGGGCCCTCTTGTGGCTCTGCGGGGCTGTCTCGTGTCCCTTCGGGGCTGCCTTGGGGCTCTCTTGAGGGCCTTTCGTGCCTCCGTGGGCCCGTCTTGAGGGCCTTTTGGCTTGTCTTGGGCAGTCGGGAGCGCGAAAGACGAGAGCGCGACAAACATAGAACCACATGTGTATGAAAACAAATGTCCCGCGGAGCTTTTAGCGGAAGAGGCTCGCTCTCGCCCTGCAGATCAAAAAAAGTGTATGAAATCAACGATTGTCGCCTCTTGAGGCTTGAGGCCCTCTCGGGGCTCCTCGTGGAGCCCTCTTGGGGCGCCTTGGGGACTTCTCGGGCCATCTTGAGGCCATCTTGAGTCGTCCTGGAGCCATCTTGTGCCGTCTTGAGGCCATCTTGAGCCATCTTGGAGGCCACTCGGGTCATCTTGGTTCATTTTGATGACCGAGGCTCTCGTGGAGGCCCTCCTGAAGCCATCTTGGGCGAAACAGCTGTTGAGAGCCCTCCTTTTTGGTGGGTTCCGAGTGGCCAGCTGATCGCGCCGAGGACCACCTGGAATTGCTTGGAAACGGCAAAAAAAGATCCGCCGCCCCCTGTGGTCTTGCCACATGGGTGCACGGCGTGCTATATTACATAATGGTTATTGGTCCTTTTAGAACTCCCAGTGGATTCTCGGCCCAGCCCGCTGGCCACCCGAAAAGCTGATCAAAATCCAGAACTCGTTGGTCAACTCGCCTTCAACACGACTACGATGGCCCAGATGGCTTCTAAAATGGTTCCAAGACTCCAAGACGGCCAAGAAGGCTCCGAGAGGGCCCAAGATGGCTGAATGATCTATACAAGATGACCCCAGATGTCCTCAAGCTGGCCTGAGATGGCTTCAAGGTGGCCCAAGACGGCCCAAGAAGCCCCCAAGATGTCTCCAAGAAGGCCCAATAAGCCTCCAAGAGGGCCTACAGGAATGCCCGATGAGGTGCACATCATTGATTTTTCTGTGTCTTTTAAAGGTTTCTGGCTTTTTTTCCGCGTTCCGACTGCCCAAGGTAGCCTGACATACTCCCAAGACCGCCCTAAGATCGCCGCAGAGGCCTCCGAGATGGCTCCATGACGGCCCAAGAAGCTCCCAAGACGGTCCCAAGAGAGCCCGAAGACTGCCCAAGAGGCCTCCAAGACTCCCAAGATGGCCTCCAGAACGACCCTGAAGCGCCCCAGGCGGGCCGCAAGACGGCCCAGAGAGGCTCCCAAGATGACTTCCGACGGCGTCAGACGGGCCAGGAACGCCGCAAGACATCCAAATCTTCCCCCGAAGAAGCCCCCAAGTGCCCTCAAGAGGCCCAAGGAGGCCCCAAGAGGCCTCCAAGAGTCCCCCAGGAAGCTCCCAGGATGCCGGAACATGACCCAGGAAGCTCCCGAGATGTCTCCCCATCCTTCTCATCATCCTCTTTCGTCCCTCTCCTCGTCCTCTTCTTCGCCCGCCCGTCCCCTAGCTCCGCCCCTCCTCGGCTGCGCCACACCTTGGCTCACCGCCCCTCGCCGAGCGAGCCGCGCGCTGGGCCGCCCCTGTGGGGGCTGGGCTCCCGCATCCTCAGCGCCTTGCAGGGGTCACGTTCCTGTCTGCAGCTTGTGCTGCCCCCCTTGGGGGTCACCTCCCGCTCTGCCTCTCCGTCCCAGACCCTGCACGTGCTACGAGGCACGCGGCACGGCCTCTTCGGGCGTGCGGGGTGCCCAACCTTGTTCCTCCCTGGTGGCTGCCGTCCGCGCCCCCCCCCCACATGGCACCGCGTAGTTCCTCTTTCTCCTCCTCCTCCTCCTCCTCCTCCTCCTCCTCCTCCTCGATGCAAACGGGGGTCGGCCAGATCGCTCGATCTTGCAGGATCCTGCAGGGCCAGGGTCGCATTGACTCGGGTTTGGGTGCAGGATCCTGCAGGATCTTGCAGGATCATTCGCACTGACCTGGGTTTGGGTGCAGGATCTTGCAGGATTCTGCCAGGCCTGGCTGACCCAGGTCTGGATTGACCCAGATCAGAAGATCCCCGAGGGTACCGGGGTTCGGGGACGCTTCGTCGGTTCCAGCAGGGCTTCCTGCCTCGGGATGCGTTCCAGCGGCTGCGCCTCGCCGGGAGCTCTTCCGGGGGGCCCGGATCGTCCCGAACGGCCGCTGGAGATCCGAGTTATGACCCGAAAGCCGAGGGTAGGGTCGGCGCCGGCGGGGGTCGGCCGATCCCCTCGAATCTCAGAGGAGGAACATGTATCAGGAGGGAAAAAACACACAGACACAATTAATCGTCGATTCCCCAGGAAATATAGGAACATGTGGGAAGTGGGGGGGGGAAGACAAACACCCAGAAAATATGGGAAAATATGGGGAATATTTTTTTTGTGTGTGTATTTATTTGTGTGTCCCAGTTCCCCTTCAACATGTACCGATACTGCTGCCCTTCCCTGGCTTTCACCTTTCTGGGCCTCCTCGGAGGCCTGTGCCACCACCGCCAGATCCGCCTCGAAGTTCTGGCCAGAGCGCAGCTGCGGAACGCTGGGGGCACCTGGGGCCAGGGGGCACCTTGGGCGACCCCCGTCGGGGCTCACGTCACGGGGGTCAGCGCTGACGAGGGTGGTCCGCCACTCCCCTCTGGCTGACCTGGTTCAGGGAGCCACGCTTTACGTCGGGCCCGTCCCTCTACAGGGGGAATATTCGAAAAATAGTCAAACATATAGTTTGGGGACTATTCAATTGTTTTTGGCGTTATTTTTTAGTTTTCGTCGAAAATCGGCCTCTGGGGTTATGATGTTCCAACCTACTTTAGCTTTGATCACCAGAAAGAATTTCGAGCGTACCCCAAAACTCGAGGGTTTTCACGTGTCGGGCCCTGGGAGACACTGTTTCGACACTTTTTCGACAATCTTTCGACACTTTTCTGGGAGCTCGAAATTATTTCTGGGATGTGGTCCTTACGATGGGAGCTACGCTTCACGTCGGGCCCGTCCCTCTACAGGGGGAATACTCGAAAAATAGTCAAACAGATAGTTTAGGGATTATTTGGTGGACTATTTTTTAGGATATGTTCGTTTTTTTTTGTGTGTGTGTTTTCGTCGAAGATCGGCCTGTAGGAGGACGGGCCCGACCTAGAGCTGCGCGGGGCCGGCTCCTAGCTCGGCGCCCTCCGCGGGCCCAGGGCGCCTGGGGAGCCACCGGGGCTGCTGGCCGGGCTTTCCGCGACGGCGCCCCTGGCCGGCCTGGGTCTCCGCGGTCCTCGGCCGAGGGC